GTCTTGTTGCGCCTATCTATTGGTCTCGTGCCAGCCGCTGAAAACCCTCAAGGTTTCGCGTTTAGGCTTTCGTGCTTTCTCCGCCTCTGGGTCGGCGGACTGAGCCGGAGGCTCTTAAGTATTTGCTGTTAGGTGTGATGCGTGTTTGACGTTGGGCGGGAGTAGTTAATCTCTGCATGACCCCTACAAAATCCTAGTTGCGATTCATTTTCCACGTGGCTGCCCATTTGCTTCTCCATGCGTGTCCTTGCTTCAAATTTCTGATTCTCTTGCTATTAGAACTGGTACTATGTTCAACGATTCCTATTGAGCTATGACTATGGTTGGGACTTACTGTCACTCTGTACTGGACTAGTAACTAAACTATTTCTATTGGAGCCTTATTGAGTGAGCTGTAGTCTACAGTCCTAACATCCCCCTTAATCACCCCTACAGTGCTCCCCCATATAATCCCCTCTTTAATCCCCTTTAAATGAGTTTAGACCCTAAACAGCATATAATCCCCTACATACTACTCCCCCATATAACCCCCCCAAAAAAGAACCCTCAAGGAGTTTAGACAGCTCTCATGAGTGGGAGGTGAGTGTCTGGGGCACCAACCGTGTCGAATAGGCAGAATGCTCCGCAGACCTTGCTTTGCATAGGTGTTTTATGCGGTTTCGGGCTCGGGTTTCAAGTTTAGAGATTTCTAGAGTTCAGAGCTTTTTTAACCCCAGGGACTGTTACGTCTGCAGAGTTCCGAGTTTAAATATAAGGCTTTGGGTTGAGGGTGTAGAGTTTGGAGTTCAACGTGTAGAGATCCCTCCCGCAAGGATCGCGTGATTGTTGGATGCATGACGTGGGACCCTACCTTTCAAAACACACAAATTTCCTCAACATTTGAAAGGGCGCGCGCGGGTATCCTAGTAGGCATGTGCAAAGAGTACAAAGGAGTTAGTGATCTGACTAGGATTTCGAAGATGATAAAGCTCTCCTACCCGAGTCGAGTCTCCAAAGGAGCTTCAACGTATCCTGAAAGCTGCATATTTTTGGGGAAAATCTGAACATCCCCTCATTTCCTTCCTCCGTAGACTGCCGCGTAATGGAACAGCCTACTGCGCCCTTCAGCTTTCCTGGGGCGCGTAGGGCAGCACAGTTCCTTGCCTCACAACAACAGCAACGCCTAAAGTGTGCGAACGCGAACCCGCTAAAAAGATGGAATCTACTGCCAAACTCTGTGAGCATCACTTCCGACGCAAGTCTCGTTGGTCAGGATCTTGTCCAACGCATGAGCTGAAGCACCTGCAGGAACCTTGCCGCAGACAGTTTGCAAACTGCGGGTGCTTATTACTATTATTACGATGGTTATGTTTACTGCTATTGTTATTACTGGTATTACCTTTGCTATTACTATTGTTATTGCTATTGTTGTTTACGAAGTGCACGCAAGGAGGTGACAAAACCAGCTTGTGTACAGTAGCATCTGACGTTGTGAAAGTATAGTCAGGAGTCTAGTGATACGAGTACTAGCTTTTCGGAAATGCCTGCGTCCCCCACACCAAAATTGTTTTCTGGCCTCTTAAACTGTCATAAAAAATGTAATATGTTGGAGTCCATATATTGGGGTCCCCCTATCTTGGCAAATCCTAAACCCTAAACCCTAAATCCTCAACCGTAAGTTCCCAGCCCTAAGCCCTAAATCCTCAACCTTACACCCTGAGCCCAGGCGCCTCGGCTGTTACGTCTGTGCCCAAAAACGCGTTGGCCCAGACTTGCATCACCTTGAGCACGGGCCACTTGTCTTGTCCCAAAATTGGGGGTCCCTCTGAATGGTATATAGAGGATTATGTAGGGGTCATGTAGGGACATATTGGGTTATATAGGGAGATATGCGGTTGTTTAGGGGTTGGATAAGGATATAAAGGGAGACGAAAACCTGCAGAGGCTCTATGTTTACGAAGGCTGGTCACACCACGCACACATGCTGCCGCAAGTCAACCCTGTATGAAACTTTCATGCGGGGGCTAGCATGGCCGTAGCACGTAGATGGTTAAAAACATCTGCAGAGGCAAAGCTGCCGAACCGCCCTCGCTGCTAGTTGCAGACGGAGGGAGTCCTGCTGAGCAGAGAGTGCGTGCCCCGAAGATTGGAGTCTTGGCTGCTCTCTGGCGCTCCGTCTCCTGCCAATCGCCCCAGGCATCGTCATCCGAAGTTGTCATGGCCAGATAGGGATATATGGGGTTGTTTAGGGGTTAGATAAGGACATGAAGGGATAAAGGGTGTCCCGGAATTGCGGCCACTTTTGGGGGGTCCCCATAAAAAGGAATATCTTATTTTGGCGTCAATATTGGTGTCTCCCTATTTAGGGAAACTACTATGTCTAAACGACTGCCCGCATTGCAATCGAGGATTCTTGCCTGTCCAACCCTAAACGCTAAACCTGTAGTCTCCTTGGACCTATACTTCATATTAATATACTATTGCTAATATTTCCTTAATTAAGGGTGTACTATGATGAAATTAAAAATGATCCCTAAGGACAGTACAGAGACTCTGTCAAATCTGGGCAACCGGCATCCCGCACACTGCGGCGATTGTGAAAAGCGACCTACAGAGAGACTACATGCGCCATAGTCTAAACTCCTAGTATACCCCTTAGTAACCGCTATGATACTCCCCTATATAACTTTTTTAAGGAACTTAGATTCTGGCTCACATGCAACCGGCAGTTTATATGCGGCTCATGGAACAAACCTTTGCTGATGGCTGCTGCGGCTGCTGCTGCTGCTGCTCCTTCTCCTACGACGGGTCCTCATTTTTGTTTTTGCCCGCTACTACCGCTTATGCTCCACTACCCTAGGCGAGGACGAGGAAAAGAAGGATTTCTATCACCACCGCAGCGAAACAAAAACGCTGTGCAGTACAGCCACAATTATAGTCCCCCTTAAGAAGATAGAATTTGGGGTATGTGGGGGTCTCATTAATGTACCCACAGCCATATTCCACCTACTTAAAGGGACTATAGGGTAACAATCGCTGTGCCCCAAGGCAGCTGGAAATGAAGGATATCCACTTACACTTGATAAATACTGAAGTAGCTTCCATTTGTTTGCCGCGTGCTTTTCCATCTGATTCTCCGTTCTTGGGGTACGTGGTGAGACGCTGGGCAATGCAATGCTATGCGTGGACGCACAGAGGGAATGTTGCGTGTAAAGCTGCGGCTCGTTGTACCTTTCTTTTCCATGTGCCGCAGCATCCCGTAGCCAATGAACGCTCAAAGGGAGGGCATTTGAAGCAGCTTCTCGCCCCAACCCAAACACCTCGCCAAGCACCCCCCAAAAGACAGCTCTGGTTGAACAAAATTGCACAATCACCACCTAGCTTCAGCACTACCACCACTGTTACTTCTTATTGCATCCTCGATCGCAGGCTGCTGGCTCTGAAACAGGTGACTGGCAAGCACTGGCCTTCCATACTGGAAAGCTGTGACCGGGGACGGTGGCAGTGATGGACAGCACCGTGACTGCGCAGGCAACAATCCGCAAGCTATGCCTATCAGTGTCCATCGCTTCGTTTATGACTGACGCAAGTTATGCACGAAGCCAGTTGTCTTTGATGAGAGGCTCTTCGCTTTCGATCACCCTCCTACGGGGTCTGCAGTGCAGTAGCCAAGGTAAGGGTAGGGTGAACGGTGAGGATAACTATCTTAGTAATTCAGCTTGAATGCACATTAAAAGATGGAGTAAGACACATATGTACTGTAGAGGTCCTTTGTGATCCACAGTGCCAGGTGAAGGGGTCCCCCATGCCAAACATGTTGTCCATTTGGTTTCAAGACCAGGTGAATCCATTTCTAGCTGAAGAAGAGATCCCGGTCTGTGTGATGCGTCTGCGCAAAAACTCATCCTCTGCCACCAGCGACTACAAGAGCTGTGGCTCGTGCTCTTGTTTCTCATGACTTCCAACATGAACAGTTGGGAGCTTCTCTGAAAGTAGGGGTAGCTCAGGGACCCTAGGCACATCTGGGAACTGTAAATCCCCAACAAGGATTGAGAAGGGAAGTGAGAAACTCTCTTAATAGAAGCTTGGAATTTCATGTTCTATCCCGTTTGCTTCTCCATTCTGACCCTGAAACATGAGCCCCATAATTCCTGCAACTCTTATATACCCTAAAACCCTAAACGCAAAAAAAATCCTAAGCCCTAAAACCCTAAACCCTAAGCCCTAAAACCCTATACCCCCTGTGACTATTCAGTGCAAAGAATCCTTAGCTGCAACACCTTTTGCCGCACGCAGGACCGCACTTTGGGGTGCGTGGCGCTAACTTCGGAAGGTTGGGCTTTGCCTCCCTTCCAGCATGACTTACTGTGGCTTAGTAGGCAATAAGGGAATATATCAAATAGGGACTCATTTTCAAATTATACTCCCTACTAATCAGCGTATAAGGCTACCTTCTCTAGGACGGGCCGCGTGCCATCGCATTGTCAATCGCTGAAGTTCGACCTTACTTCCACCTTGCGAAGCCGAAGACCTCCTTATGCTCGTGGCTGCAGGGATGCCGGTCCAACGCTCCCGGCAGGTTGGGGTACTTCTGGGCAAACCTCAAGCCGTCTGGATTGAGAGAAGCGGTCGCACATGCATGCGAACAACGGCCATATTCACTGGATACACTTACATCAGAGCTTTCAATGTTTCTACAACTTCTGCTTGCATGGCCCAAGCAGCCGCTGGTGCACTTGGCTGACGCGCCAGCTGCATGCCTCAAAGTTCATCTTGCCGTTCCAGAAATCGTTGCTGATCCCGCTGTCTGTCGCACTATCGTACTCAAAGCCGCCCAGGTTGCAAAATGAGTCCTGAGACTGCAGTCCCATGTAGTTTTAATATACAGTAGTAAAGGAAACGCTGCGCCAAGGCTCGAAATCCGCGATGCCGGAGACTTCATCAAGAAACACCTGCTCATGGCGCGTTTCTTGACCGATGCAAGGACTTAGTGCAAAATACAGGCACCCCTTCACAACCCGAGTTCCAAGCAGGTTATGCTATTACTGTTATTACTGTTGCCACTATTCTTATTTCTACTAGTCCATTTCATGTTCGATGCTCTTTTCCTTTGATTCTCCGTTCTTTGGAGGGTAATGTCCCTATATCTCCCTATAATCCCTTTCACTAATTATTACCATTACAGCTAAGCCCTGAACCTAAACCCTAAGCCCTTAACATCTCTGAGCCTACCATTAGCACCATGACTATGAGTATTGTGATTATATGAGCTATAGTCTAAACTCTAAATATCCCCCTTAATAACCCCTATAGTAGTCCCCTATATAATCCCCCATATAACCCTTTTCAGGAATTCAAACTATGGCTCATATTAAGGCATAGCAAGCCAGCCTCCCCTGCGAAGATGGCATTCCACGTGCAGGTGCTGGTACCTGAAAAAAAAAGGCAACAGATTCCGGGTTTCAAGGTTTAGTGGTTTACGATTTAGGGTCTAGGCTTCAGGGTTTAGAAGCTTCGGATTTAAGGTTTGGCATTTAGGGTTTAGGATTTAGGGTTTAGGATTGAGGGTTTTAGGATGCAGGATTTAAGGTTTAGGATTCAGGATTTAGGGTTTGTGATTTAGGGTGTGTGTTGGTGCGAAAGCGCACCAACCCTTCGCGCGCTCGCGTAGTTAGAGCTCCCATCCCAACCACGCTAAGTATTCTCAATGAAGGTTTAGGGTTCCTACCCCCCAAAACTCCCCTAGCAAGGGAGACTTAGTTACAGGTTTTTGTAACCTCGCAATGCGTCAGCTGTTCGCTCTGCGCGTGTGGTCTGCGCTCGGTGTTAAGACAACAGCCCACAAGCGAGGCCGCAGCAAGGCTGCTGAGCCCCCTGAAACCAGGAGCCCTTGAAAAATGCATAGCACCTCAATGGCTCTCACTATAAAGAGCTGCGCGCCTGAAGAAAAATAGCGTCGCAGGGGGGTTCCCCTGGAGGTCCTGGGAGGCTTTACCCTCCCAGGCCCATAGATTCGTTCTGACGCGTCATGAGGCTCGAGCGCCCATGTATATGGTCAGCGGCGCTCTCGCCCGTTTGGGGTTTAGCCTGGAACGGCATCTTGGCATGGGGACATTGGGATACTGCTGCCATAAGGGCTTGCAATAAAAATCCCTCTTTACAATTCTTGAAGGGACCCCTGATCTCCTTCCAACCCCTGCATGTATATAGTCCCCCTTAAGTAGAATCTGGGGTATATGGGATCCTTTTCATAATATACCCAAAGTCATACTCTATCTACTTAAGGGGGACTATGAATGTAGAATGCTAGGTCTCTTGGGCATCCATCTGCAGAACCGTCTTTTACATTATCCTCGACTAGATGGATATAGGCTCCAAGAGTCAAAAAGCACATACGTTCGCTATATCCGCCGTACATACTATCTATTAAGGAAGAACCATAGGGCATGAGACTTCCAGAAGCAAGCCTAACTCTTAATCAGAGTCTTTTGGTAAATCCAACCCCGTAGCCCCATAATACAAACCCTGCTATAAAGTGAAGATTATTATGGAATCTTCAAAATTCCTTTATTCGCTTCTGCTAAACACATACTATCTGGAGAAACTCCCCATATGAGAAAGAGTCTACACTCCTAGTATCCCCCTTAATAGCCCCTATTATAGTCCCCTATAAACCCCTTTAAGGAGTTTAGACTACAGCCCATATGTCGGCCACGCCACCGTTCGGCTTATCACAGAAGCCCCCCGGCTCGGCAAAAGCACATTTTTCCGTTTTGCCTCAAGTTTGCGGATCAGGGTTTAGGGTTTAGGGCTTAGGGTTCAGGGTTTAGGGTTTAGGATTTATGTACCCATCCCCAAATACACATGCAGAATACTGCCGAATGAAAGGAAAGTTTGGATGTGTTCCGGTCGGAAAAGACAGCTGGCACTCAAAGTACGTGTCTAATCTGAAGCTCACTAGCTATCGATGCTCAAGCGCGTCGCAACTTGAAAGTGGCACAATTTGGACTACAAGCATTTGTTGTTATTGGAAGACATATTCCAAATACTGTGCTCCGAAAGCACCAACACCATGTACCAACTCGTGCAAAGCAACTTGCGAAATCCCGGCTCGGGCATCGTCCAGGAAGCGAATACCATACGACATCCTGATAGCGAGCCTCAGTCGGACTGCTTTTCGAGGGGTTTCGGCTAGCAGGCCGTGAAAACCATCTTAATGCTCACATTACGAATGATCCTGGTCGCGTAGTCGTCGTTGCTGTAATTGAAGAATTAAGCGATGGGGTTGTGATGGTGGTGGCAGTGGTGGCAGTGGCGGT